TAATTTTGAAGATGATACACCATCTGGAAAACCATCATGACTGATGTTTCTGAATATAGCCGGTCTTACATGTCAGCAGTCATCAAAAGATTATTTATTAAATTGTACAAAAACATTAAAGTGGCCTGGTTTTACAAAAAAAACCCAAACAAACAAACAAACAAAAAAAACAGCCATTTCTGGGAACCAGCAGTTAGCGTAATGGCTATGTCGCTGGACTCCCACGTAGTCGACTGCGGTTCGTGTCCCGGACCCGGTGGCTTAAAACTCACGCTGGGTGCGTGTGCGTGCGTGCCCAAGATCCCGAGAGGAGAATGGAGGAGAAGGGATTGCGTGACCATCCCCCCTGGGGGGTAATTTCTTGCTTTCTGTCTCTATGTCTCTCTCTGTCAGACTGGCGAGCGCACGCGCCCTACAGTGAAAATCTCTCAAAAAAAAAAAAAACAAAAAACCAGCCATTTCTCTTTCTTGCTTTCAACCTCGCTTTCTCTCATTTTTAAAAAAATGCAAAAATATAATAAAATGAGAAGTAAAAAAACTGAATTAAGACTGAGACCAGTTAGTGTAATGGCTATGTTGCTGGACTCTCACATAGCCGACCGCGGTTCAAGTCCCAGACCCAGTGGCTTAAACTCATGTCGGGTGCGTGTCCGTGTGTGACCAAGATCCAGAGAGGATAATGGGGGAGAAGGGATTGCAGTGTGGCCATTCCCCTGGGGGGTGATTTCTCGCTTCCTGTCTCTTTGTTTCTCTCTGTCTTTCTGGGTAGTGCACACACCCTATAGCAAAAACCTCTCCAACAAAAGGGAAAAAAAAACTGAATTAAGATAAAGAAAAAAATGAGAGAGAAATTATTGGAAGACATGAAAAACTAAAAGGCACCCAGAAATGGAAAAAATATAAAAATATTATGAAAACATACATTTTTATTCATCCTTTACCCTGTTCAAGCTTTACTAATATTCCAGTCAAAATCAACTATTACTTTCTTCATTCTTCTTTCACAGAACATAGTCCCTATGGATAGGTCCATTATTTTAAGTTTTGCATTTATATATATCTCTCCTTCCATGAAACTCTAAGTTCTTGAGGGGCCATGTCTTTGTCCAGTCACCCCTGCCTTTCTCAAGTTTAATATAGGCCGTGGGGTACGTAGGCCCCAGGAAATATTTAGCGAGGTGAGATGAGCTTCTCCGAACATACTACCAAGGTTTTAATATAAAACACCCAAAGAAAAAGTACTGGAATCGAGAGGGAGACAGATCATTCATGTCCTCTACATGTGCCTCTCAATGATTAGGCTTGTTATAATAAACGTAATTTATTTTTATCATTTTGATCCGTTTTTGGAAGTATGTTTCTTAATTTAGTTAATTCAACAAAGAATACCAAGAAACACGCTTCCAGAAAAGCCAGCTGTCATGACTCAGCTTCGCTCGCTCTGATTACATAAATATCCTCTGGCTACGACCTATGGTATCCAAGCTAGCTGGCCCACTTAAGGCACCTGTGCACTTCCAGCTCTCGTTATGTAACAGGCCAGAGTCTGTCACTTTACTCGCCCACATACCTCAAGGGGCAATTGCATGGCAACAGAATGACAGAGCACCTTCCATATTTCCAACCAGACCCATGAACTCTTCACAGATTTCGCTAGCCATGACACACTCCCTTCTTTGTCAACGTCCTAATTCACTTAAATACACTGCCACATTTAGAATCCTAAATATATTTATAAAATCATCCTCATCTTTTTCTAGTTTTATAGCCCACTATCCCTACAATTCTAAGAACTGAATTTAATTCTGTAGCTTGTAGAAATGATCAAATTGCTGTCTTTAGCAACCTTTAAAATGTGTTTACTAATAGGCACTGAGCCAAGCCTCAAAAGTCACTGATAATAAAAATCTACGGTTAATTTCAAGACATTTACAAGCCCAAAGTAGAACGAATAAACACGGGGCATTAGAAAATAAAGCCAAAACGAAAAATATGTTGAGAAAAGAAATCAGATTAAAGCAAACAAAATTTTTCTAAGGCAACACACTGTGAAAATTGAAATATTTCTAGGTTTTCTCTTTTAGAAGAAAATGATGAACTATTTGTCATTTTTGTGACAGTAATCCAATTCACCTACTTTTCAAAATACACTCCTACTGTAACTCACCCTTCCCACTTACTCCTGCGCATCTGTACTACGTACCGTGTGTGTCTGCACTACCCCGAGGCCCACCGCCATGCCACGTAGCCCACCGCTGTGGGAGGGTCCGCCCCAGCGAGCAGTCAGCAGTGAGCGGACCCCTGGGTTGCGCGCACTCTCCTTACCATCTCTCATTACCCTTTGCTGCCTCTCCTGCCTGCTGGGCCTGCTGGTTGTTCTGGCTTCTGCTGTGCTTCCATGAACTCAGAGATGCATCTGGCTATTAAATATGTCCTCTTTAAAAATAGCTCACAGTGGGACCAGCAGTTAGCATAATGGCTATGTCACTGGACTCCCATGTAGTCGACTGCGGTTCGAGTCCCAGACCGGGTGGCTTAAACTCACGCCGGGCACGTGTGTGTGCGTGCCCAAGATCCCGAGAGGAGAATGGAGGAGAAGGGATTGTGGTATGGCCACTCCCTGGGGAGTGATTTCTCATTTTCTGTCTCTCTGTCTCTGTCTTTCTAGCGAGCACATGTGCCCTATAGCAAAAACCTCTCAAAAAAAAAAAAAGAAAAAATAGCTCACAATAATCTTTTGAGAACCTTATCTTTATCAGCCCCAGTTCTTTCACATATGAGGGGACTTCCGAAAGTTTGCAGAAAAATGAAAAGTACAAGTGTATTTTGATACAAAAACGTTTTCAAATCCGTGTACAGTTTTCCACAATAGGCATTTTTCAAGAGCTTTCTGATGCTCCCTCTTGTGTTTCACGTCCTCCCTCCCTAAACTGTAAATGACTTGAAAATTAACACAATTTTTTTTGGCCTGCAGGCCCCAGGACTCACTGAATTAATTTTTCCTGAATCGAATAAAAAACGTGTGTTTGCATAAACCTACCTCTTCTCTTCTCTCTTCTGCGGAAGGAGCTTTAAGTTCTCGTGCTGTATCATCTTTCGGGTCAAAGAGATAGATGTAATCTGAGGAGTAGCTAACGAGGATCTCTTGCCCGTCCTCACTGTAGCACAGAGATGTCACTCTGCAGGACTTATTGTGAAGATGGGGCGGGATGAAACGGGCAACCATTCCAGTTGTCCCTCGGCCTGCATAATTCCCTAAATGAGGAAACTGAAGTTAATTGAAATGAATAACTTTTAAAGATATATGTTTTAAAATCTTTGTGTGAATTATGAGACATGTGGTCTAAAGTAGACATAAATCTGAGCTATCACATTTATTTCTAGAAGAGGTCCTTCAGTTTTTGGATTTTAAAACAAAAGAAAGAACAACAGATAATACGGTATAAAAACATGTCTATTAAAAAAGGTTAATGACTGTCTGGCATTCCAGATTACATCACTGGTTTAATTAGCAAGTTAATACATAATTTGACAGATTAAAATGATTTTTAATCACGAGCTGTCAGCATGGTGATTAAGGTGGCTGGATCCCACATGGGCAACACTACAGTTCCGATCCCGGACCCAGTGGCTTGAATAACGTGCCAGGTGCATGTGCACACAAGCCTAAAATCCCGAAAGGAGAGTGGACTGCGGGCATGGCCACTCCCTGGCAGGTGCTTTCTTACTCTCACTGTCATTCCCTCTCTGCGGAGTGCACACATCCTTTAGCAAATTTGGAAAGCAAGAAAGCAATTTATGGTTATAGTAACAGTAAATCATCTCCAAGAACTCCTCTCAAATTTACATAATATCCTTTTTATAATAGAAAAGCTGATATTTGTTAGCTGTTGATTAGGGGAGCTGGATCCCACATGGCCATTCAAAGATGGTTTGAATCCTAGCCGCAAGGCTTGAAAAACACCCCAGGCACAAGTGCAAGTATTCTTCAGATCCAAACAGGTGTCTACGCAGAGAAGGACTGCAGCAGGGCCACACCCCACCGTGCGGGTTTCCTCCCTCCCCCCTGCTCTGTGGCAAGTTAAACTGACCTCTATCAATTAAAACAATTCTGTACAGACTTTAACCAACTCCGGTCACGTTCAGTACAATGTTATATAAGAGGAAGGGGTCCAACGGGGCCTGGGGCTCTTGGAGCACAGAGTTCTACTGTTACACAAACGGTGTAATTCTGCACAGTGAAGTTCTGTCCTGCTCAAAATGTCAACTGCTGAGAGACAATAACTAAGTCTGTTTTGTATCCGATTATATTATATTACCGCTGTTTCTTCTAACTCTTGAAATCCAAACTCCTCATCACAGTTCAACAAAGGAAGACCATGCCTGGCATTCCCATTTCAATCATCTATGTCCACGTTCACTGGCGTTGCCGACTTCTGCCCAAGACTACCTTTACTGTGAGCAACTGAACAGTGTGCGGGTAAAACATTCACATTTGACATTCAAGTCTGTGTGTGTGTGGGTGTGTGTATTAAGTAATCCTGGTATTCCTTTACTGAGAAAATGCTAATGGAAGTTGAGTTTCAATTGGTTATTTCTGAAGTAGTTTTATCCCCCAATGGCTAAACAGAAAAACAGTTTAAATTAGACGGATTCAGGTTGAATTGCGGCACTATTAACAGTACTTTAAGCTAAGCAGGCACAAACGTGCTATATATATATACCCACTATGTTTTCTAACTTTTCTTCCCACCATTCTCTTGACTGAAAAATGCCAGTCTCCCCCAAAATTTATGTCCCCCCAAAATTCGCATCTACTCAAAAGTTTGAAATGTGACGTTAGGGGCCAGCAGGTGGTGTGGTGGTTAAGGTACCTGACTCCTATGTGGCTGACTATGGTTCGCATCCCAGATTTGGCAGCTTGCTTTCTCTCTCTCCTCTCTCTGTCTGTCTTTCTCTGGTCAAATTGAAGAAGAATAAATAAAATAAATGATTTTTTAAAAAGTGTGACTTTATTTGAAAATAGGATCTCTGCAGACGTAATTGCGATGAGATCGTGTTGGATAACGGTGCCCTAAAAAAGAGGGAGATGTTGAAAGACATGCACAGAATGGTGTGTGAGGATGGAGACACAGACTGGACTAATGCTTCCATGAACCCCAGGACACCAGAGACAGGCAGCAACCAATCGAGGCTGGGAGAGACGCATACAGAGACTCTCCCTCAAAGCCTCCAGAAGAAACCAGCCCTGAGACATCCTGATTCCAGATAAGATATCATTTGTGAGGACTTGTCACGGCAGTCCTGAGAAACTACTATGTCAAATGTCAGAATCATTTTTTTTTAACTTTTATTAATTTTTTTTTAAATTGCCACAGGGTACAAGCACTCACCAGGGACAGTTGTGGGAGAAAGACAGAGGGACAGAGGGACAGAGAGAGAGAGAGAGAGAGAGAATCCCCCAAAGGGGCGTGGTCACGCCGTAATCCTTTTTCCTGCATTTCTCCCCATCAGGACTTTGGGCACACACACACACACGTGCCCAGCATGTTTTTCAAGCCTCTGGGGCCAGATTCTAATCATGGCTGGCCATTTAGGATCCAGTTTCCATGGCACAGACCTTGAGCAACGCACTATGAAGCCAGTCTCCAAGCCTCGCAACATTCTTCTTTTTCAGTCTGCCAGAGGGTGGGTGCACTTTTCAAAGAGACACAGAACAGAAAAAAGGAGAGAGAAAACACTGCTCGATGGGGTGTGGTCACACTGCAATCCCCTTTCCTCCATTTCTTTGCCTTGCTGGGATTTGGAGCACACATGCACTGCACCCATGTTTCTCAAGCCACCAGGGCCAAGATTTGAACTGCTGTTCACCATGTGGAAACTGGATAGCATAGCCACTAGGCTATAGGACTGGCCAGTATAACAACTTTTTAAAAAAAATCTTCACCAGAGGGTGCACATGCTCTTTGGAGAGAGACAGACACGGGGGGTCGGGGGGAGAGGGAGAGAGAGAGAGAGAGAGGGAGGGAGGGAAATGAGAAAGAGTGAGAAAGCATGCCCCTCCATGGGGATGGTCATGCTGCAATCCCCTCTCCTCCATCTCTCCCTCCTTTCAGGATTCTGGACATGCACATGCAGGTGCTTGGCTTATTTCAAGCTGCCGAGTTCAGAACTCGAACCACGCAGTTGGCAATATGGGATCCAGCCACCTTAACCACTGGCTGACTCATGCCACTGGCTGACTCATCACAACTTATTAATGTAATAAATTAAACAAAAAAGTATCATATTAACAAGGGTCATAAGAACTTGGTGAAATGCTGTTTTATATGATAATACATATTACTTAAATACATTGTTCCCTGAAATTTTATTACACACTAAAGAAACTTTAAATTGCAAAGATGTCATAAAGATTTGTTCTTTGAACTGCTGGTGTCTTATGTTTTCCCTAACACGATCTTCTTACCTGTGGCTCTCGTGCCCAGCATTCGTCGATCATATATTCGTACTGAGCTATCGGAACAGCCAACGGCAAGATAATACGGTACTGGTGGACAGATAGCTACAGAGGTGGCAGCACGTCGGCAGTTAATTAAAATGTCCTACGAAAGATGACACAATTCCAGCTACAGAGGGAGATTCAGTAGACATGACACTACACTTAAAACATTTCTCTTTTAATTGAAAGAAATAATCTTTCTCCAGCAAGTGGTGTGGAGGTTAAGGCAGCTGGATCCCACTTGGCAGAGTTGGAGGTTCAAATTCCAGGCCAGTTGGCTTGACAATCACCCTGGGCACAAGTGTCTGGCTGCCCAAATCCCAACAGATGATTTTTTATTAGAGAAGAGACCACAGCGCAGCCAGCTGCCCTGATGGTGCCTCCTCACTTCTCTGCCTCTCTCTCTCTCTCTCTGTCTCTCTTCAGCAAGTGCACGTACCCTACAGCAAAAACTAAAAACAAATAACACCATCAAATAAAAATAAATTTTTTTTTGAGAGAGGTTTTTCACTATAGGACGCGTGTGCTCGCCAGACAGACAGAGAGAGACATAGAGACAGAACGCGAGGAATCACCCCCCGGGGGGATGGTCACGCCGTAATCCCTTCTCCTCCATTCTCCTCTCGGGATCTTGGGCGTGCACGCACACGCGCCCGGCGTGGGTTTTAAGCCACTGGGTCTGGGACGCGAATTGCGGTTGACTACGTGGGAGTCCAGCGACACAGCCATTACGCTAACTGCTGGTTTCCAAATAAAAATAATTTTAAAAAGATGATGAAATAAACTTTCTAAAAAGTCCTAATTCAGTCAGCATAACAAGGTTCCCCTTGACTTTTTTTAAATTTACTTTTCAGGTTTCTAATATAAATCATTTCTAAGACATTCAGCCTATGTAAACCAAGATAAATGAATTCAGTTAACACCCCTCCTTAGCAACTTATCACTCTAAGGAAAATATTTTTTCTTTATAGTTTACTATTCAGATCCATAATTTATTGATTTCTACTACATTTCATACTTTCCTGAATAAATCAAAACAAAATATATACAGAAATACTAAACTTAATGTAGAAATTTTAAAAACAGTATTTGTGTAACACACACCCAAAAAATAAGTCTGAAGAAAAAAAAAAAACAACTTACATATACTGGGGACCAGCAGTTGGTGTAAAGGCTGTGTCGCTGGATTCCCATGTAGCTGATAGCGGTTAGAGTCCCAAACCCGGTGGCTTTAACTCACGCCGGGCGTGTATGTGTGTGTGTGTGTGTGTGTACCCAAGATCCTGAGAGGAGAATGGAGGAGAAGGGATTGCGGCGTGGCCATCCCCCCTGGGGGGTGATTTTTCACTTTCTATCTCTCTGTCTCTGTCGGGCGAGCACACGCGCCCTATAGCAAAATCCTCTAAAAAAAAAAACCCAAAAAACAAAAACCTTACATACTGAAAACCTGAACAATTATACTATTAATAGATTAGCAGTAGCTATAAGAAGCTTCTGATAATTCTTTAAACTCATTCTTTATATTATCAATTTAATTACCTTTTCAAAACTAGCTACATTTCATGTGATAATGATAGACTGGGTAACAATGTAACAATATATGGGACCAGCAGGTGGTATAATGGTCACATCGCTGGACTCTGACGTAGGAGACCGCAGTTTGAGTCACAGACCTGAAGGCTTAAAACTCGTGCCGGGTGTAAGTGCAGGTGTGCCCAAAATCCTAAGAGGAGAAGAGACTGCAGTATGGTCATCTCACCTGGGGGGGATTTATAGCATTCTGTCTCCCTGGCAAGCGTGTGTACCTTATAGCAAAAATCTCTCTCTAAATATATATGTGCGTCTGTGTGTGTGTGTGTGTGTATGTGCATATATATGTGTGTGTGTGTGTATATGTATATGTGTATTTATGTATACACACACACAGTCATCAGAAAAGTCATAATTAATTTTTGCATAGAAAATAAAACACTGTGGCCTCAACCCACCAGCCAGTCCTAGATTACGGGTGTGTACTTACTTGCCTGGATGAAGCCAGAACCTCCGGTTGTAGGTCAGCCTCACCAAGTGACCACTGCACCACCATCCAGCCTCAGGGGTCCCTGTCTGTTAAACTAACCATCAGGTCAGCTTGTGGCATGGCAGTCTGGGCCTCAGACCTGGCTGGGTATGTGTGCACGTGTGCATGTGTGTATGGCTGGGTATGTGTGCATGTGTGCATGTGTATATGTGCCAAACCCAGAAAGAGTGAGAGATGGAGGGGAAGGATCATGGCATGACTATCCCCATGGGAAGGTGCTTTCTCTCTCTCTCTCTCTCTCTGTCTTTCAGGCAAGCACACATCCATCTGATAGATTTTTTAAAATTAATTTATTTTAAGCTTTGCTTATTTAATTTTTAACATTACAACATTACTCCTATTACACAGAAATCAATTTACAAAATGCCTTTCATAATTCTAACTTCTTAGAACATAAAAATTGCTCTGATTACTTTTTCCCTTACACCTTCTAACTATTCACATTTATATGTAAATGAATAATTTTATTAAAGACTATTTTCGACGATCAGCCTTGCCTTTGTACTTCCACAGGTTTTTGGTTCAGAAAAACACAATTAAATCATAACACACTGTACTTTAAAGTTTAAAAGAACCTGGAATAACAAATTTTAGTGCCTTTTTTTGAGAAACGATTTTTGCTATAGGGCGCGTGCACTTGCCAAAGAAACAGAGTGACAGGGAGACAGGAAGTGAGAAATCACTGCCCAGGGGGAATGGCCACACCACGATACCTTCTCTTGGGATTCTGGGCATGCACGCACACGTGCCCAGATGGAGTTTGAAGCTGCTGGGTCTAGGACTCAAAATGCAGCCGGCCACATGGGAGTCCAGCCACGTAGCATTATGCCATCTGCCGGTCTCAGTGCCCACTACTTGCTAAGCAAAGGCATACCGAATGTCCCTAATAACTACACCTTTTAAACTTATTTCTGCCTCAGCTCAATGCTTTCCTATTTGGTGTGTATGTACATACGCACATTAAAAAAAAAAAAAAACTGTGTCTTAAAAATACTTTGAAATCAGGAACAGCAGTTGGCATAATGGCTATGTTGCTGGACTCCCACGTAGTCTACAGCGGTCTGAGTCCTGAACCTGGTGGCTTAAACTCACGCCGGGTGCATGTGCATGCTTGCCCAAGATCCCGAGAGAATGGAGGAGAAGGGAGTGTGGTGTGGCCATCCCCCCTAGGGGGGTGATTTCTCCCTCTCTGTCTGTCTCTGTCTTTCTGGCGGGCACACGTGCCCTATAGCAAAAACCTCTCAAAAAAAAAAAAAAAACCTTTGAAATCTCTCCTTTTTGTTTTCTTTTTCTTCTCTGTTTCAAATATATAAAATAATCATTTTACTCCCAAACATGTTAGTTATGGTAAATGGTTTATTGAGCAAGTACTTTTAAACTTATTAACACATTTAACTTTCAGTAAAAATATACTTAGTAATACTATTTCATTTACTTCAAAATGATCCAAGAAAAGGCTACTCTGCTTTAAATAATATATGACAGGGGCAAAACAGCTGGGATTAGTTGCCTGGGGTCAAAGACTAAATGAGTCTAGGACTTTTTATAAGTTTAAAGTATTATTTAAACATAAACAGTAACAGTGAAGCTATAACCTTAGAAAAGTGAGCTAAATTTGAATGAGCATGTTGATAGAATGGTATCTTAATATTTCTTGTAAAAAACGATAACACATAATTGCTAGTTTGAAAGACATGAAATACAATAATCTCACTTTATGCTAACTTTTTTTTTTTTTTTAAATCAAGAAGGTGAGAAACAGTATGAACCAGCAGGGGAGCGAGACAGAGATGAAGAGAAAGAGAGGAGTAATTTTGACAGGGTTTCACTATGTTTGGATCCGTCTGCCCTACGCCCTGCTTAGCCAAGGCCACAGACTCAGGCTTCAGTGCCGGCCTGGTAGGCTGGGCCACAGGAACTAGAGCGGGCCTTCCATGCTGCTCAGCCAACACGGAGCGGCACCCCTCGCCTGCAGGAATGTGGCTGGGTCATGCCGACAGCTCTGACCCCCGGCTGCTGGGTAAGCCAACATGGTCTCTATTATTAAAGGAGGTATGCTAATAAATTCTTCAGGTTTTTGTAATCCTGGAGTATATACTGAATAACTGCAAATTTTCATAAATGCACCTTAACTGCACAGTAAACTCCAAGTTTCCCAGTTTCAGTAACAATTTAACTTTAAAAAAAATGAGTCATGGAAAGAGAAAAATCACATTTTCACTCATACATGAAAACTAGTAGAATGATTACTACAGGCTGGGGAAGGTTGGAGGAACAGAGAAATGTTGGTTAATGGATACGAAATTGCAGTTAGATAAAAATAAGCTCTAGTGTTGTGTAGCACTATAGGGTAACTTTAGTTAACAATAATTTATTGTATATTTAAGAATACCTAAGAGAGAAGATTTTGAATGCTCCCAACATGAAGCAATGATAAATGTTTGCGATGATGTTGATTATGCTGCTTTGCTCTTTACACACTGCATTCATGTACTGAAAAGCACACTGTGCCCCGTAAATATAATTATATAATAATTTAAAATGCATTTTAAACATTTTATGATTATAAAAATATGTTTATTAGAGATCTTAGCAAAACAATTTTAAAATTCTCCCATAATCATATTACCCAGAAATAACTTACTGTCCAATTTTAATTATAACCTTATTCTTTTCTGCATCATTTGTTAAAGACTGGCCCTTACGTCTTTGCAGTCTTCCTTTGTGCAGCTGGTTTTGATGCGTGTATCAAACCACCTCACTGTTCCGTCTTCACCACAAGAGAGGAAAGTGGAAGGGTCATTTGGTACAGTCATAATCTGAGGGTGAGAACAAAAGCAGAGGTAAACTTGCTGAACATTTGAACAGGTAGCTTTGAAAAATACTGCTCGATTTCATAAAATGTTTAAGGTAAAAGCAACAAAACCCATATATTTTATGACTTAACCACGTCATCGTTCAAAACATTACAATAAAGGCAGATAAATGTAAGAAGTAATTACTGAATTAACACAGTTAATTACTTTGAAGATTAGAATGCAACCTTCAGATACAAAGTTCTTGAAAATTAGTTTTATCTACTTTGGGCACGCACGCACATGCGCCCGGCGTGAGTTTAAGCCACCGGGTCCGGGTCCGGAACTCAAACCGCGGTCGACTACATGGGAGTTCAGTGACATAGCCATTATGCTAACTGTTGGTCCTGGACATTTATATTTATAAAACTGAGAGTAAGTTTTGGGCTATTAATCCATAAAGAAAAAAATAAAAATGAACATTATTTATTTGGAAATTTGAATGAAATATTGTGTCATACTTTCAAAGCATAAGATTACCACCTTGAAGGTTGTTTTATATAAATGTTTGATCTTGTACTCTAGGAAATTATATTGGAAGTAGCATACTTTCAAATTATTACCATTAAGTATTTTTTTTTTTGAGAGGTTTTTGTAATAGGGCGCATGCGCTCACCAGACAGAGAGACGGAGAGACAGAAAGCAAGAAATCACCCCCAGGGGGGATGGTCACACTGCAATCCCTTCTCCTCCATTCTCCTTTCGGGATCTTGGGCATGCACGCACACGTGCCCGGCATGAGTTTTAAGCCACCGGGTCCGGGATGCGAACCGCGGTCAACTACAAGGGAGTCCAGCGACATAGCCATTACGCTAACTGCTGGTCCCAGCCATTAAGTACAGTTTTAAAAATAAAAATTTACACAGTATTTTCAGTTTTATTATAAAAATGCACACATAACAAAGATTGTCATGAAGTCATTTCTTGGCTCTACTTGCATTTAGTACTTGTTCTTGAGCAGCCTTCTTCGCGTTTACCATCTCAATGAGTTCCTTGTATTGTTGCATGCAGTCCATCTTTCAGGTGTATTTACTGGGTATATTTTCAAAGCCTGTTCTAAAAGCTAATGTTCCTCTGTGTCCAAGGGATGAAATCTGCGCATGGACCTTCAAATCGCTCTGAAGGTGTGGCAGTATCAGCTTGAGGTACCACCCCATGTTCTTTTTTAAGCTTACCAAAAGCCTTTTGTTTATATGTCATCTTTTTGATGAGGGTCAAGTTTTTGGAGACTCTTCGTTTTGCCAATAACATCTTTGGCAGTTCTCCTGACTCCAGAGGAAGAATGTATGTTCATATTAGCAATAACTTCCCTCTTGAATTTGTTCCAGCAGGGAAGAGATGCACAGCTTTAATTCACAGCTGCAATCAATTTAATTTAATTGCAGATCATCTTCTGACCAACTTTTACTGCCATGTCCACTTCTGCAAGTTGAATTCTCTGCAGCCTTAGATGCTTGTTGCATACCTTCTCTTTTCTAATTTGCTCATTTATTTCTTCTATTTTTCCAAAGCAGCCTTTCCTACTTCTTTTGTAGATGAAATAAGTGTTTCATTCAAACACTGTAAACTTGCTAGCTCAAGCCAATCACAAAGTTTTTCCACTTCTTCCATCATTTTCACCACCTCTGCCTCATTATCAGAAAAGTGATTCCAGGACCAGCAGTTAGTGTAATGGCTACATCACTGAACTACCATGGAGTCGACTGCGGTTAGAGTTCCGGATTCGGTGGCTTAAACTCATGCTGGGTGCGTGTGCATGCGTGCCCAAGATCCCGAGAGGAGAATGGAGAAGGGATTGTGGCATGGCCATCCCCTCAGGGGGTGATTTCTCACTTTCTGTCTGTCTCTGTCTGGGGAGCGCACGCATCCTATAGCAAAAACCTCTCCAAAAAAAAAAAAAAAAGAAAAGTGATTCCAGGACTTGCATGAGTTTTGAAGTTTTTGCCTTTCTTTTTTAATGGCTTCTTTCTGAATATCTTTCTCCTTTGCCAATAATGCATATGCTGTCTAACTTCTTTCTCCTAGCCAACCGAGCAGCTTCTAATTCGGCTTGTCTTTGTTTTTCTTTAGCTTCTTGCTCCTTCCACTTGGCTTCTGCTTTTGCCTTCTTTTCTGCTTCTTTCTTGGCTTTTTCTTCTTTCTTAAATTTTTTTATTCTTGGATCACAACTATATGCATTGTCAACTAATGTTCTTATAATAAGTTCATTTCTTCTTTTTTTCTTTGTGCTCTTGTTGCTCCGTTCTGCTTTTCAATCCATCTCCTTTCATCATGACATTCTGCTTTTTCTTTTTCTTCTTCATCTAAATATGAGAATTCTCTCCAAGAATCAAAATTATACCAGAAAGAATAAAATGCATCTACATCTTCAAATGATGAATTCATATCACCAAGTTTAGGGACATTTTTTTATTTGACCATCTGGAATTCCTTTCAAACACTGGGGAAAACACTTCCAAGAAATTGTCCTTTGCTTCACTTTTAGAAGGAACTGAGTTATCAAAAGTAGGATCTGTACTGTTAAATGCGCGTCTTTTTACTGGATCAGATAACATTTCATAAGCTTTAGTTATACAAGTGAAGTAGTCATTATCTCCTCCTTTTATTGGTTCACCAGCTGTTTTCCGTTTGTCTGGATGACATTTTAAAACCATTGCTTTATGAGTTGCTCTGATCTGTCTCTGTGTAGCTTTGTATCTCACGTGGCCAAGTCCAAGAACTGCATAATGATCTTGGTTTTTCAGTCTTTGGGATCAAGTGTTTTCGGCATGGGAAACTCTTCTAACTGCAATTCTTCATCTTCTGATTCCTCTGATAATCCTTTCTTATCCTCCAGTTCCAGAGGTCAGAGTGTGGGTGATGGTGGCGCTCGGCAGGAGCAGCATGGTGCCTGGGCTAGCCCCATGAATGCAGGGGTTCGCGTCCCAGGCAGAGGGCGCCTAGCGTCCCCTCCAGCTCTACCTCTCCTTCTGAGCCTCGCACTTTGGCTCTAAGTCGCCCAGGACCAGGTGCTTGGAGACTACTAATAAGGATTTCTTGAACATAATGCCAAAGACACAGGCAACAAGAGAAAAAATAGATAAATGGAATCATGTCAAACTGGCAACTGCAGAGCAAAGAAAATTATAAGATGAAAAAGCAGTTTACAGGTTGGGCCAAAATATTTGCCAACTATGTATCTAATAATGGACTAATATTCAGGATACAAAATGAACTCCTACAACTCAAGAACATCAAAAAATAAAAGACATGGGAAAAATATTGTGACATCCCAGCTAATCCTTGAGAGCAAAGCTGCTTGTAAAGCAGCAGTCAACAGGTGAGTAGCAATATTTGGATTAAAATTTAGACTACGATCTTGAGTGGGAGAAGACTGAAAGCAAGAATATGGTATACAAGGACTAGCAGATGGTGTAACGGTTATGTCACTGGACTCCCACATGGCTGACAGTGGTTTAAGTCCTGGACCTAGCAGCTTGAAACTCACACTGGGTGCATGTGCTTTTGTGCCCAACATCCTGAGAAGAGAGTGGAGGAGAAGGGACTGCAGTGAGACCATACCCCTGAAGGATGATTTCTGGCTTTCTGTCTCTCTGGCAAGCATATGTGCCCTATAGCAAAATCTCTTAAAAAAAGAAAAATTGATATAAAATCAACTTCCACATTTTCTATAAATATAAAATATAATCCACTAATAAATTACCAAAAAATTCAGATGCAAAAATTATAATATTTATAAACCCTGTATGCTTTAACAAAGTTTTTTTTTTATTAATTTTTTTTAATATGCTTAATCGGAAGCCAGTAGGTGGTGTGGCAGTTAAGGTGATGAACTCCCACAATGCCAACTATGGCTCAAACCTTGGACCTAACAGCTTGAAAATCAGGTCGGACTCATGTGCATGCATGTCCAAAATCTTGAGAGAATGGATTGCAGCATGACCCTCTCCCTTGGAGAATGATTTTTCATTTTCCCTCTGATTGTCTCTCTCTGTCTCTCTTTGGTGAGCAGATGTACTCCATGGCAAAAACCTTTAAAAAAAATAATTATAGCAAAATATACGTAATACTGACGATCTTAAACCATTTAAAAATGAAACTAGGATTAGGATCACTGAAGACCTCTGTCTGGACTTCACCCCCCTCTCCCCTCATCTAGCCAGGTTAGAGCACCTATTTATTCTGTCTCTCTCTTTTTAATTTTTTTCCTTAATTTTTAAACTTCTTAGTTCTCTGATGCTCTTTTATTTCGCTAATTCTTACCTTTCCTCAACCCACACAGGACAAGCCAATCACCAGTCACCTGTATCTGAGGTCTGAGCAGCTCCTTTTGTGGGCGTGCTCACATGCTGCACAGGTTTTTTTTTCTTAAAATTTTTTTCCTTTTTTTAAAAATTATTTTTGTCTTTTTTTTTTTTTTCTCTCTCTATTTTTTTTTTCTTTGTTTCCTTTTCCTTTTACCTTTATCACTTTTCTGCTCAGCCTCCACACACTTGAGTTTCTAGACAGGTCTAGATGCACAGTAGCTAAATATCTGAATACATTTAGGGTCAGATTAATCCTTAATTTCCATGGACTCTATTGCACAAAGGGAGAAAAACGGTAATGCTTAGAGACTGCAGCTCATCCCTCAGCAGACCTCTGACTGCTCAGACTTCACTACGAAAGCTAGGAAAAAAACGTATAATCTATCAGATGACCAGAAACCACCACAGAGGCACAAGACAGATGAGAAACCCAGGAAATATCTCTCCACTAAGGGAAAAGAATAAGTCCTTTTCCTCCACAGAGAATACAAGGGAACTTATTGAAATATCAGATAAAGAATTTAAAATATTCATAGTGACAAAGCTAATGGAGATGCAAGAGAAAAAAGACAATGAACTCCTGAAGATGCAGGAGAAAAGAGACAAGTGCCAGGAGGTGAGGAAGTTCTTGAACAATCTGAAAGAGGAAATACGCAC